ATAAAAATGGGAAAAAATCCTAGATGCCAAGCATGTCGTCTGTAAATATTTCAGTATATATATCTAAAAGTAAGAACTCTTTTATAACATGACCACAATACCGTCATCCCACTAAGAACAAAATGAACCATAATTCCTTACAAGCATCAAATAATCAGTTGAGTTCAAAGTTCCCTGATTGACCCATAATTTTTTTGGTTGGTTTGTTTGAACCGGTATCCAGGCAGGTCCACCCACTATTCACAGGCTCATTCTTACTTATCGTAAAGATCTCAGCCTAGAGAGCCTTACTTCCTTCTGGCAGCTTCCCCAGTCCCAAATGTCTGGGCTGTGTGTCCCTTGTCTGTTCTTCCGTCTCACCCTCATCCACTTGTTTGCATGTAGACAGACTGGAATCTCCAAGAGGGTGGGACATGTCAATGTGTCCTAAAGTGATGTCTCTTGGGCCTAGCACTGTGCCTGGTGAATAGTGTACACCAACTCGGTCTGTATTGCCTGAATAAGGAAATGAACTAGTTCCCAAGCAGCACTAGATTTCCATCCCGTATATGCCTTCTCTGTAACACTTTGCACATTAGTGTAAAGATTTGCTTAGTAATCTCTTACCCCCAAGGGTAGAGACTTCATCATTTTGGGATCCCCCAGTACATAGCCCAGCACCCGACTCACACAACGTGTTCACAGAGGGATTGTGGAGTGAATAAGGACATTTAGGATTCTAAGTTCTTTCTCTGAGACGTTGGTTCTCAAGCTTTTCTCTCTGGGCCTCATTTTTCTCATCTCTATCGTGAAGAATGAACGCAGTGATTACCAAGGTCCTTTTCAGGAACCGGAAGGTCCTCATTCACCATACACTTGCTGCCCTCTGCTGGCAGGATTTGCTCAGGACTCCTCTGTCCCTGATGTTCCTAGAACCTCAGGCAGAAACGAGGTGTGGAGGGCGAGCTGGTCTGTAAGCGCAATCGGGACTTGAATTATGTTGCCTCACCAGCGTTAGACGAAGACATGGAGGTGTGCGCCTCCCTCCTCATTCATCCACTTTTTCCATTCGGAGGAGGGCTAGGCTAGGTCTCAGATCAACAGAAAGAATGACACCGTGGTCCTCACACCCTCAGACCAACACTCGATTCCCTGAGGAGTGAGGCCCACGTGTCCATCTGTATTAAAAATATATAAAAATCCACTGGTTCTAACGTGCACCCTCATTGACAACTGCTGGACCAAGATGATCTTCACTGTGTATCTTGGGCTAAAAGCTTAGAAGCACAGTAAAAAGCCCATCTAGAAAAAAAGCAAATAAAGACTAGGATTTTATAAGACAAAATTCCCTTGGCCTACCTTAAAAAGTTTTCTTTTTTGGACAAACCCCAACAGCTTACAAGTCATACAGTTTTGTGTGGGGAATCAACACCATTTGCCTGTGAGGAATACTGCTCCCAGGTCTGGTTTCTTTTACTTGCTGAGACATTAGTTATTGATTTCGGTGTACCACACCTCTGTGTCTTGTTTTTTTAAATAGTTATTTCTGCATTTGTTAAGATTATCTTGGCTGCAGATAACAGGTTCAAGAATGTCACTAACCTGGGCCACAAGTGAGAACTTGCTGGAAGGCACTGAGAGGCCATCCACAGGCCTGCTTGCCAAGAGCAGATGGTAAACAGGAACTGGAACACTATGGGGCACCAAGAAATGGTCTGTCCTTTGCCTCTGCTTCTCTCTTCTCGTCTAATTTGTTTCTTTCTTCTTAAGCCAACCAGTGCTTTCTTGTCATTAATCTATGAGGCAGAATGTGGCCACCAGCGAATCTCGACTCCCCTGTGTTGGACATCCGCCTGCTGGAGAAAAACTCCTTTTTCTTTGCCCCAGATCCAAGTCTCCAGACTAGTCTCCTTGGGCCAATCAACCTTGGCCTGCAGGACTGACCAGAGGATTCTTGAAGTCCAATGAGAAGTAAAACTACAGGACCTTTTATCCACCAAGTGGGGAAAATGCTAGTAGCAGTACACAGAAAGCTCCTTCCTTTCTTCTGTAGTCTCTTTTCAATGTGTCATGATGGCTTTTATTTTCTATTTAATGTTGTTCTAAGTAAAGAAAAATCTAAATTTTTAAATTAGAATAAAGAAAGTTATTAGCATGCATTTTATTATTCATCTTGACATCATGCAATGTCAGCTTGAAATGTCAATTTCGAAGCTTTTAACTCATATGAAGAATCACTGAAATTACACAATTGGTATTTTGTAACAAACACAAACAAAAATCATAAAGATTGGAAAGAAGAGAGGATGCCCCCAGGCTCCCCCAGGGGACGCTCCCTCAGGTTTGGATTCACTAGATGGCCCTCACAGGCACCCAAGGGCCCCGCCAGCCACCAGACCTACACACCGAGACCCAGCCAGGGGGCAGGATCTAGGGAAGTTGATCCGAGTATCCTCCCTTCCCATAGCCTCCCTTCATCCCATATACCTCCACAGCAGGCTATATCCTCCAAGGATCTTTGAACCTCTGTGCTATGACCCACCTGGGCTAGGGCTGGGCAGAGGCCTGCACCCACCAAGACACAGCTTCTGACCAGTCCCACTGCCTACCCCGGATAAGGATTACCACCACTGTGTCCAGCCGACAGGCTGTAAGGGGCACACACACCATCCCGGCCCTCTCTATGTCTATGCCCAGGACCCTGGAAGGCTGAAGAAGGGCAATCGTGGTCATACAGTAGGGCAGAAAGGGGAAGGTCAAGCAGAGAGCGCAGGCAGCTGAGCACTGGCCCTGGGAGGCAGCCTCAGGCGGGGCCCTGTCTGAGCGAGACTTACAGATTTTACTTCCAAAGATAGATTCAATGTTACAGCTATTAAGACTCTCAAGACAGCCGGGCTCGGTGGCTCAGCCTGTAATCCCACGCCTTTGGGAGGCTGAGGCAAGTGGATTGCCTGAGCCCGCGGGTTCGAGACCCGCCTGGGCAACTTGGCAAGCTCTCATCTCTACAATAAATCAAAAATTAGCTGGGCGTGGTAGTGCGCGCCTGTAGTTCCAGCTACGTGGAAGGCTGAGGTGGAAGGATCTCCGGAGCCCAGCAGGTCAAGCTGCGGTGGCCGGGAACAGCCACTGCACTCCAGTCTGGGCGACAGAGTGAGACTCCAACTCAAAAAAAAAAAAAGACTCTCAAGACAGCAACCAAGAGCATTAACCCCCAAGCACAGAGCCCTTCTCATTGGTCACAAGCTTATCCAGCCACCCAGTGGCCTACGAGGGAGGTGGTAAGTGTGGAATGATAACCTTCCCAAGAAACAGGTCCCAGAAATACAGAGGGGAGAGCTTTGGGAAAACGAGCCAAGTGTTATGGTTCTTTATCACAAAGTGGAAACACTTTCCTGGCCCTCCAAATTCATAAACAGGCACAGGTACAGGATTAAACAAGATATAAATTCTGCAATTTGACTTACAGATATCACTAAATGACTCCATTATATTGAATGGTTATTCAATATACAGAGGCTGCCAAAAAATGTATGCACATTTTAAGAAAGAAAAAAATGGTATTAACATTGTAATACTCAACAGGAGGAATACAAGTCACGTTTGACTTCTGCAATTACAAGAGGTGCTCGATGTGGTTACCATCAGCGTCCAGACACTTCTGACTGTGGCGAACATCTCTTAACATTGTTTAAAATATGTGGGGTTTTTTTTATTTGTTTGTTTTGGCACTCCCAGTAGATTAACTAAAATCTTGACCATGGGCTTCAGGAGTCCACAAGTCCTGTCCTGTAGCCCCCGTCTCCTATCTCCCCAGCTCTCCCCGCCCCTACTCTTCCCTTTGGCCCCCTTTCTCTCCCCCCTCTGCTGTGCTAACAAGTTCCCAGGGAGCTCACTTTGAGAACCTTGGCTTAGATCCCAAGCAGGCCTGCCGCAGGGTCGGCTCCAGGGTTGTGGAGGGCACTCCCCCCAGGAGGCGTCCCTGGAAAGTTGGAGGTTGCAAAAGGGACTTTCCTGGAAGGCTGTTTCCTGCGGCTCTAGGGAGAGGAGGGAACAGAAGAAAGCAATCACCCAAGTCAGGGACTCCTCCTGGATTAGCATGACTGAAGAACCAGATCCCTCATTCCCCTGTGCAGGGGAAACCAGCAGAGCAGAGTAACCCCACCTGAATCCACCCCACCTAGGGGTGTGCCCTTCCCCTGCTGGACAACTCACGGTCAAGTATGTCCCTCCTCAGGCCAAGAAGGGAGAGCTGGGGAGCACCAGAGTGTCGTGCCAGGAAGTGCTCACCAGGGTCGCCATACCTGCACCCCCTGAAATCTAATCAACAGTTTCCAACTTTTCCTAATCTGATGTTTGCAAAATGGAGTCTCATTGGTTTAATTTGCATTTTTCATCATAGTAACTCATATTTCTTCTGTGTTTTGCCTGTTCATATCCTTTGACATTTTTCTAGCAAGGTGTCTTTTCTTACTGATTTATCATCGCTTTTTTTAAATTACTGTTAATCCTTTATAGAAGTTGCCAACTTTTTTATTTGTGATTTCACGATTTGTCTTTTAAACTCACGGCGTACTAGTTTCTGCCCATGTGACAGCCTCTCAGAGCCTCAGTTTTCTCATCTCAGAGTTGGGAAGACAGTTCCGGCATGGGCTTGCTGGAGGATCAAATGAGGTAATGTCTTGTTGTACTTAGCCAGCTCCATCCTCAGCCCCCAGTAAATGTTAACAGCTGTGGGTGCCACTGCAGTTTTGTAACCAAATGTCTCTGAATTACACCCAAGGAGCCCCAAGTCCCAGGCCAGCCTTCCTGCCTTCAATACTGTTCAGCACTGTGAACTCTGAGCACAACAGAACACATGCAGTGCTAATCAGACCCAGTTGGGATTGGATGAACTCTTTCGGGGGGGGGGGTTCACGTAAATGTTTGCCACTTTTGGAAGCGGGACTCTAAAGTTCACAGAAAAGGCAAAATGCCATGAGACTCTGGTTCAACCGTCTTCCTTTACCCCGACCCTCCATTAGGCGGCCCCTGAGTACTGCAGCCTGCGGGAAGGCCTGCCCTACCTGGACATGGTGATCGCAGAGACTCTGAGGATGTACCCACCAGCGTTCAGGTATGTTGCCGCCCTAGCCCCGCCCTGCATGCCAGGACCCTCCCTGGTCCTCTGTTACTCATCACATGTGCGCCTGGAGGGCACATTCTGAGTCCTGGGCTCCTTTAATCCCCTTGGACACCTGGGATTTCCTATAGGCTCCTGATCTTCTCCAAGCATCATTGGCCTTTTCTCAACATGGTCTTCCTCCCCAACCCAAGCTAGTCTCTTTGGCCTCCTAGCCTCTGATAGCTTTTTCCCTTTCCCCTGCCTTTTTGTTCCTTCATTCATTCATTCATTCAGCGACTGTTTATTGAGCATCTAGTCTGTGCCAAGCACTGGGAAATCCGCTGTGTACAGAACAGATGAAAGTCCCTGCCCTTGGAGATGGCATTCCAGTAGGGACCGGCCGAGGCCCAGGTGTCCTCCAACACTCCCACCTGTCCTGCCCAGGACGTCTGTCTCAGGCACACCTTCCCTGCTCCTCCCTGCCCTTTCTACCCCTAGCATTTTGAGCTGTAACTAGACTTCATATTTTATTCTTGAACTTATGTCCATCACTCCATGACATTTCACTAACAGATGCCCATCACACCAACCTGTACACCAGATCAAGTCTTGGAGATAGGATTAAGTCTTGCGCTTCCAACTCTCCCAAACAAAGTACCCTGTGGAGAAGGGCATTTTCAATCAGGTCCCCAGATACTTACAGAGCATGAAACTGTGACCAGATTTCGGGTTCTAGAAACAAAAGTAGCCCAAAATATTAAGCGTATATTATAGGTTCCGCCTGGCACTTCTAGGAATTAATATGCTACATCATAAACCATATGGAGATACATTTTGCCATTTTTAAAGAGAAAGTGTGGATGATTTGAGGGGATCTCAAAATTATATGCCAAACCAAAAACATTACAGAGTGTTGTAGATATTGTCCAAATGTTCGAACCCAGAAGCAAATATAGAAAATTCCAGTGATGTGATTCAAACAGCATTGTCCTGATGCATGCTGGGTTTGAGACTCGGGGCAGCAGCAGGCCAGAAATGCAGGGCTCTCCACACCTCTTCCTGACACCAGCTGATGCTCTAGCCCTTTTCTCATCTTCCTGGGAGCCTTGAGCAAACTGCCATCTAATCTTTTGAGATTTTTTTGATGAATTATATCCAACCTTCTTTCAAGGGCACTGTGGGCAGCTTGTGTACATGTTAAAATGAAGTTCAAGATAAAGCATTCACTGATCAAACAGAGCAAAGGCTGTTTAAAGGAAAGAAGGCTTTACTGGGCCCAGGAGATGGCTGATAACTGGGGTAAGGCCTTGGCATGGTAGCCAAGGCTCCTGGAAGAGAGGGAATCCAGCTGAGCAGAACAGTTGTGCTCTCTAGTAGGTGGAAAGTGTGTACACTGATCAAAAGACACATTATTTCCTGGATCTAAATCCAATCAAGAATTCATCATACAAGAACTTTTATAGATGATATGTTGAGTAACAGAGTGGTCAGGCTCTTAAGGAAGTAGGCCGAGCCAGGTGCAGTGGCTCATGCCTGTAATCCCAACACTTTGGGAGGTGGAGGTGAGAGGTCTGCCTGAGCCCACAGGTTCAAAAGCAACCTGGGCAACATGGCGAGACCTTGTCTCTACAATAAATCAAAAAATTAGCTGGGCATGGTGATGCACACCTATAGTTCCAGCTACTTGGAAGGCTGAAGTAGAAGGATCACCCGAGCCCAGCAAGTCGAGTCTGCAGTGGCCATGAGTAGCTTGCCACCGCACTCCAGTCTGGGCGACAGAGTGAGACTCCAACTCAAAAAAAAAGAAAGGAAGTAGACTGGTTCTATTAAAAAAAAAAGTGGACAGGCTTTTCCACACAAAAGTGCTATGGCCAGTTCTCCCATTGACCCACTATAAACAACAAAGTTTAAAAAGAAATCAGGCAGGTGTGGCTCTGAAGGCCTGAATGCGGGTGATCTCACTGAAGGGCAAGACAGAAACTAGAGAATCTAGACAAATGGGTTAAAATTCCCTCCTAAAGGCGCACATGGTGCCTGGGCTCCATAGTGACATAAAACAGGTAGGGGCGAGTCATGATAGTCTCGGCCCTTCCCTGGTTTGCTATGTGATCGTGGTTAAGCCCTGTGCTGCTCTGTGCTGTCCCTCCCTCCAGGGCAAGCGGGACACAGACGCAGCAGAGTGAGGTGTGCAGGGAGGAGCAGGGCTGTGTGGCCGGGTGTAGCAGGTCCCGGGCCAAGCTGTGCTCCCTGTGTCTCTACCTCCCTGTCACCTGCTCCACAAGCATACTCATCCCATCCACTCTGGCTCCTCTTTCTTCAACATCAGAAGGGAGAGAAGCAGGGTGTCATGTCTCTCACTCAGACAGGAGGACAATCCACGCTGGCCCAGGCAGAGGATCTGGGAGTGGATGTAAGGAGAGTGAGCTTTGTTTTATTTTAATCTCAGAAAAGTGTGCTGGTTTTTCCCAAGCATTGACACAGCCGTAAAAGAAACTGAGAAAGGTCCTTGTGGAAAACACAGTAATACCTATGTAAGTGTAATGAATGTGAATCCAGGCTCCTGTGCAGCCCGACTTGGCCAATTTTGCTGACCTCTTATGGAGCCTTGGTCTACAGGGAAGAGAAGGCCTGATTTTCCAGGGGTGCTATTTCCAGGTCCAGGCTGTTCCTGGGAAAGATGGCAAGCAGGGAATAACCATGTTTGGCCCCTTTGGAACTAGAGGTGAGCACATCACAACCCCACTTGCCTGCCCAGGTTTCAGTGCTGATATATGTGCTCCAAGCACATACATTTGCATAACTGGCTTAGGATCTGAATGGGGTCCCACAACCCTGGCCTTTTACTGCCCTCGCTGCCCCCATGAAAGGTTCATAGCAGAGAGACAGATGCAGCAAGAAGCCTCGCACTGCTCTTAATTTCTTTTATGAGCAGGGACAGGGTATAAAGGTAATTCATGTAAAGTCATTGTATTTCCTCCCAGACATTTAGGGAAGCCCAATCCTACAACTTGAAGTAAAAGCCAGCACAGTATTGGTTTTAATTTTTTAAATAATTATTTATATTGCCAAAATAACATGTGTGTAACAAAATAACATAACATACATGTTATTTTGGCATATATTCACGTGTGTGTATATACATATATTTCTCTCTCTCTCCTAAAAAATACAGAAGGATCCAAAGAGAAAAGAGCCCTCCTGTCATCCTCCATCCCAGTCCCATCCCCTAGAAGAGATAAAGGTAGTCACTTAGGTATTCTTCCAGAAATCTCATGTTCATAAGCAAGCATATATAGTCTACCCTTTACAATTAAAACATAAGCCGGGCTTGGTGGCTCAGCCTGTAATCCCGCGCCTTTGGGAGGCTGAGGTGAGTGGATTGCCTGAGTCCGCGGGTTCGAGACCCACCTGGGCTGCGAGACCTCATCTCTACAATAAAAATAAAAAAAATCAGCCGGGTATGGTAGCGCATGCCTGTAATTCCAGCTACTCGGAAGGCTGAGGCGGAAGGATCGCTGGAGCCCAGCAGGCGAGGCTGTGGTGGCCGGGAGCGGCCACTGCACTCCAGTCTGGGAGACCGAGTGAGACTCAACTCAAAAAAAAAAAAACATGAATGAGAGCATGCCATTGAAATTGGGCAGCACAAAGCCGGGCTCGGTGGCTCAGCCTGTAATCCCACGCCTTTGGGAGGCTGAGGTGAGTGGATTGCTTGAGCCCGCGCGTTCAAGACCCGCCTGGGCAGGCGAGAACTCATCTCTACAATAAATCAAAAATGAGGCAGGCATGGTAGCATGTGCCTGTAGTTCCAGCTACTTGGAAGGCTGAGGTGGAAGGATTGCCAGAGCCCAGCAGGTGGAGGCTGCGGTGGCCAGGAGCAGCCACTGCACTCCAGTCTGGGTGACAGAGTGAGACACCAACTCAAAAAAGAAAAAAAAAAAGAAATTGGGCACACAAACAGTCTAATCAGACATTTTCCTCTCGTAGAAGAAGCTATTAGTCGAGACAAAGGCACTAGGGAATAGATTTTCAAGCCCAAATTTCCTTTAGGTAAAATTTCACCAGGACTTCCCCACCGTAGTCAACTTCATAGAGACAGAAAGAAGAGAGCTTGCCAGGGAGTAGGAGGAAGGATACAGTGGGGAGTTCAAGTCTAATGGGTCCAGAATTTCAACTGGGAAGATGAAAATGTTCTGAAGGCAGATGGTGGCAATGGCTGTAAGACAATAGCTTAATGCATGGAACTGTACTCAAAAAATGGCTTAAATGGTAAATTTTATGTTATGTCTATTTTATCACAAAATAATAGATAGATAAATAAATAAATCCAATCCCACCAGGAGCAATTCTGGTGTTAGAATATTCCAGAATTATTATGGCAGCTGATAGAGGTTTGAGGATGTCCTGGTGAGATGCCCTCATGTCCTGTGTGTTAAGGATTTAACACTCAGATTTTTTGTTTATTCCAGACACTTGGTGAGGTGGGGTGGGGGTGCAGGTATGAACAGAGGTGTGAACCGGTGTGTGGGGTGCATGCACCCCTTTGGTATTCCATTCAGGTTAGGGAAACAGGCCTTTTCCACACGGGGAAGGTATCTTGAGACCGAGCCTTGGCACACGCTGTGACTGACATCACCATCCAACCCCCTTGCTACCTGGGAAGGAAGTGGCCTGCAGACTAGCAGGCAAGGAGAGGTGGATGGGGGGCTTTGTTTTTTCACTGTGGGTGAGATCTGTTGATAGTGGTGACATCAGAGAAAAATTTCTCAATCGAATACCATAGTCACGGGAGTGCTAGGGAGAGGATGATTAAGAGGAGGTGGTCAACTTTACCCACATCCTAGGAGTCTTTATCTCATCTTTCAAAATTCCAAATTAATTAAGAATAGAATGCTTGTACTAAACACCAGAAGTCTACATTTGTGTATTCCAAAAGAGGTTCTTCCTCTCCCCACCTCTAATTTTGTTTATGGAAGGTCACAGTAGGTCTGCACATTTGTTCAACAGGAACTCAGAACAGGAATGTTAGGGAAGGATACACATAGAATTTGGAGTCCAGGCTCCGGAGGATTAAGGTAGGTCTTTCATGGCAAGGAATTGATTGAAATGGGGCAAAATGTATGACATAACAGTTTAGCGATCAATGGATACAGATAGGCAAGTTGAAGGGAGTCTTGACAGGTAAAACTGTTGTCTGGTAAGTGAGCCATTTGTTTGTGACAATGTCCCATTAAGAGAGCTGTTTACCCAGATAAATCAGTCTTTATTAATTTTCTGAAACAAATGGTAAAGTTGCTTCTTGGCTTTGAGTCTTATCTTCCTGAGCAAGAATTTTCTAGAACAGACAGAAAGTCACATTGACACTGGTGGTCTCAATTCTCAGTCCCAAGAGTGAGCTATGTTGCTAGAGGTAGGCTCAATTCTCAGGGAAGACTGTTAATCTGAAATCAACAACGCACAGCTTGAGAGAGCTGTGTCAAGTTTTCAAGTTGTAAGGAATGGAGCCTCACTCATGTGTTCCTGAGTAGTGTCAGAAGAAACTGTGGTATGATAAGCAAGCTGGAACTCTCCCAGGAACCAAGAATGGCCACCATGGAGGAGGGGGCCTGAGCCCGAGAGAAGGCAGTTCAGGAACCCCAGCGGCTTCCAGTCAGAGTGGGGTATTGTTTCATCATCCCCAGGAGCCCCAAACACTGCTTGAGCAGGCACCGTGTAAAAGTGGCCCCAACACCCCTGACCTGCTCATGGCCTTAGTCTCCAATGCTGGTCCTCAACTGCCTCTCACACTGCACCCATGTCGCCCCCACCTCCTTGGTTTCTCATCTCTTGCTTTCTTCTCCTATTCAAGGCCTCATTTTGCCCACTGCCCTTGACTTGGACATCTGCTTCACCAGCCACTTCCAGGCCAGGCGCACAGCCTCAGGTGCCTGGGACTCCCACCCAGCTCCAGAGCCCTGTCCCAGGCAGCCCTACTCAGGAGCAAGCAGACAAGACTGCCTGGGACAGAGACGGCTCTGGCTGCCATGAGGAGACAATGGGAAAAGAGGCCAAGGAAAGATGGGACTCTAAATTAAAAGGTGGCAAAAAACTGGAGTGATGGCACAATCAGTAAATCTGCTGGGGTGGGGGGGTGGGCAGCGGGGAGAAGTGTCCAGGATGGCTTCCAATTTCTGGCTTGCTTGAGTGTTTGTGGGAAACAGAAGGAGGAAAAGGTGGGGGTGTTATGACTATCTGTCTCTACTCTTACCAACTTTGAGAGACCTGTGGACCATCCAAGGGAAGAGATCTGATCTGGAGAAATAAGAATCTGGGGTTCAAGCTGGGGTAGAAGGCTCAGAATATAAGGGAAGTTGAAGCTGGGAGTGTGGATGAAATCCCTAGGAAACTCTGGGATTTAAGAGGTGGGAAGATGCGGGAGAGCCTGCCGGTGAGAGGGAGAAGGAGTTCCAGGCATGCAGGAGGGGAACCAAAGCAAGCAATGTCATTTGAAATCAAGGAAGGAAAGCGTGTGTGTGTGTGTGTGTGTGTGTGTGTGTGTGTGTGTGTGAGAGAGAGAGAGAGAGAGAGAGAGAGAGAGAATGAAAAAGCAAATGGGACTAACAGCAGGTAAGTCTGGGTAAAGGATATATGGGTATCTGATGTACTATTCTTCAACGTTTTTATAAGTTCAAGATTATTTTCAATTGAAAATTAAAACAAAGCAAAGGTGCAAGAGAAAGACAGTCAATGGCATAGAAGGGCCAAGTAAGATAAAGACTGAAGGGTATCCAGTGGATGTGCCGAGAAATGGTCTTTGGTGATCTTGACATGAGGCCCGTACACAGGAGGGAGGGGATGGAAGCCAGACAGCAGGGCTGGACAGTGAAATGGGTGGAGACGGTATGAGAGGGTGAGCTAAGGCTATTTAATGGGAAGATAGGAGGTGGTAGCCAGGGGATGACCCTCCACGCCACCCCCAGAAAGAAGCCTTCTAAGGCTCCTCTGCACCCCAACACCAGGCTCAAGATGGGCTCTTCAGTGCTGGACAGCAGACACATGGAGGAATAGACAAGTATATCTGCATCAAGGGCTGAGTGTGTCTGAAGAGCCCTGAGACCGCAGGCTCCTGGGCAGTGAGGGGCAAAGGGGTGGGAGCTTTGTCACCATCTATGGGAAGAGGACTGGCCTCCCATCCCCCAGCCTCATTCCACACACCATGGCCCCCTGCCCGCAACCCTCTTCAGACTCAGAACCAGCCCAGAATGCCCCAGACTCTCCTGTTTCCTCCTCATCCCCCGCCTTTCCACAGGTTCACGCGGGAGGCGGCCCAGGACTGCGAGCTGCTGGGGCAGCGCATCCCTGCAGGTGCCGTGCTGGAGACGGCGGTGGGTGCCCTGCACCATGACCCTGTGCACTGGCCCAGTCCCGAGACCTTCGACCCTGAAAGGTAGGCACCGCCCCCCCCACTCAATGGCCTTGAGGGATGTGAGTGTGTGGAGCTGAGATTCAACCAAGGAGGGGGTAGCCAAGGACACAGACAGAGCAAAGTCGTCCCCAGACAGTCAAAACTGATGACAATTCAAGTAAATGTCTGCAAGGCACCATTTCCAAAGGAAAGAATACCATTTTCAAAAGCTCCCAACTGAATCCAGAGAGTTAGCATGTCAGCAGTACTGCACACAAGGAACAGGCAGTTCCAAATGGTTGTCTTCTATTCATCCCAGCTGGGGGACAGGATATAGGACTGTATTTCAGGTATGCACTGGAAAGTAACAAAACATCATTTCCTAAAAAAAAGTGGGGGGGGCAACTATCCAAACAATAGCATCAGCTGAATTTCTCCACGAATTTAAATTCATGAGCTCCAATAGTAAACCTGGCTCCTCCTCCTTTCACCACTGCCTAATTTCGTCCACTGCCTAATTTCGTTCCTGGACTTTATGTTTGGAAATGTATGTCTGAGCAGACACCCACACCCAGGTCCTTATCAGAATCCATCGATGTCCTTCCTTGTGTGATCTGGCAAGGGAAGGGTCAGCTGGTCAGTTGTGTTTTCACCTTTAATGGCACCCGCTGGACTCAGCCCGACTCTACAACCCAGCCCCTGGGAAACCATGGGCCGTGGGATCTACATAGGTAACACTCCACGGTCAGCAGCTCCTGAAGACCCAGCAGCCCAGGGCTGGCAGCAACACAGTGAAATCCAGAGGTAGTAAGAGGTGAGAGCTGGCTGATACAAGAGTGAGTGCCTCAGCTTCATGGCATGGGACACACGTAGCACGCAAATGCTGCTATCTGGTAGCAGATTTAGCAACGCTGAGGAAGGTCACCCCCCCCCCGATGTCCAATACTGCAGTTCCCATGGGGCAAGTTTCCAGTGCTTGGGCCAGCAGAGCACATGTGGGGTGGGAGGCTGCTGCTGGCAAGGGGTGAAACAGGGCACGGGCAGGCTGGTGAGGGACCACGGTGCCCGGGACTCTGCCTAGGAAGACAGCGGGTAATGACTGCAACATTCTCTGGCTGAGGGGTGGTGGAGCCACAGGTCCAGGTGAGGGTTGTGACCATCAAGTCCTGGGGCTCAGGGTGCCGGTGGGCTTCATTTAGGCTCTGATTCTGGGTAGCAGTGAGCCGGCTCATTAGCGGCACACCAAATTCCCAGGGAGCAGCAAGGAGCGCTGTGAGGGACAGACAGGAGGCGAGGAGGGAGTGACCACCAGCTCCCAGAGTCTTGGGGATGTCAGCAGGGGTGGGCGGTTACCCCTACTTGGAGGACCGTGTCTCAGATGCAGGAGAGGCTAGGCCAGAGCCAGGGCTGCAGAGGGGAGGGAGCGAGCACTCCAGGCCAGACCTGACCACATGGACCCGCAGGTTCACGGCCGAGGCCCAGCGGCAGAGGCGGCCCTTCACATACCTGCCCTTCGGGGCGGGTCCACGGAGCTGCCTCGGCGTGCGGCTGGGGCTGCTGGAGGTCAAGCTGACGCTGCTCCATGTCCTGCACAAGTTCCGGTTCCAAGCCTGCCCTGAGACCCAGGTGAGGCCACACTGGCTCTGGGGCGGAGAGTGGTCACCCAGGTCTCTGTACTGCAACCGGTCAGCTGGGGGCCGGGGCACTGGGCTCTGTGGTGAGCTCCTGAACCTCCCCTGGCCTCGATGCCTTGATCTGTGAAGGTGATGACGGTGATAACACCCTCAATCTCTCAATACCATGTGAGGATTCAATGGCTCACACAAGCGCTCAGACCAGTGCCTGGCCCGTCCAAACAAGCATGTGTCAGCCACTTCTGCAGCTCTTCCCTCTTCACAAAGAGCACTCAGCCCTGGTGTGCTCCACTGTGTCACGTGCCTGCCAGTGGAGGGGTTGGGGCTGTAGCTTGTCCGACCAGAGCAGATCCTCTGGCTTGATCTCTGAGGCCCTTTCTGCTTGAAGGGGAAGCAGAGGGGCTTCAGCTCCATGAAGAGGCCTGCGATTTTGCCTTCCCCCCCCCGGGCTGTCACTCTCATGTCCCATGGACACAGTCCGGTCCCTGTCACATGTAGTGACACTTACTGTCCCCAACAATATATGCCTTCATTCCTGGGGTCCCAGAGAGGCGTACAGATATTACCCTCACCCAGACATTTGGGCTCACCTAAAATAGGGTCCCGCCCACCTTCTCAGCCCGGCATCCTCCTCACACCACACACTCGACCAGCAGATCAGGTCCTTGATGGTAAGTCCAGGGGGCTTCTGTCCCCACCTGTCACACTCACGGTAAGTCTGCAGAGTAGGCCTTGACATTCCCATGCTGCAGATGAGGAACCTGAGCTCAGAGAGGTTAAGTAACTTGCCTGAGGTCACACGATGGGACCGCAGACTCTATGAGGGCAGGGACCCGGCCTGTCACATTCACTGCCAGACCCTCCAGCATCCAGCTCCATGCCGGGCACAAGGCAGCTGCTCCCTCACCCATTTAACAGGTGTGAATGAACACATGGATGAAGAGCCAGAGAGTCAAGAAACAGGGGTTCCTGCCAGAGGGTGCTCACTAAGAAATGGAGGTTCTCACCAGAGGGTGCTTGCTCCCAAGCCCCCCTGCTTTCTCTATACCTGGCCACCGCTCTGCATGGTGTTTGCTGTTTCCTACACAACTCAACCCTGCACCCCTCTTTGTGCTGGTCCTGCCACCAGGAACCCTCTGCACAGCTGCAGACCTGGACAGAAAGACACAGGAGGGAAAAAGGACACAGTGACAGGGAGTGACATTCTAGGTTCAGGAACTGGTGGTGCCTTGACAAACAGAGAAGTGAAATAGGCCTCCGGTCCTGGAGGAGTAAGTTTGGTTGGGGACACCAAGATTGAGACTGCAAGTGAAAATGTCCCCAAAGGTTAGAGAGAGGGAGGGAGGCAGCACAAAGCCAAACCAAGAGAACCGGAGTGGAGGGACAGGAGCAGGCATGAGTGGGACTTCCTTTAGGAATTGTCTCATTTTCCCTTGATCTTGACATACAGGACAGCAGCCACACCAGTGTCGCCAAACGCTGCCGACACCTGGTTCTCCCCAGCTCAAGGACCAGCCATGAGTCCCAGAGCCTGCCCTCCAAGAGGGTCTCTGCTCTGTCTTGTCTGTTCAGACTGCTGCCCCTACCTGGAGTGGCATCCTCCCATTTCCCAGCCTCCCATCTAATCCCATCCTCCAAGCCCTTCTGTGGTTCCCAAGAAGGCCTGCTCACAAGGATTCTCTCGTTCCTAGCCCACTCCAGGCAAGCTCCTCCGAGAAGTCCTCCCTGACCTTATCAGCCCCAGCTGACTTCTCCTTTTCTGAACCCCTGTGATATTTTGAGTTTGTCTTGACCTATGATAATACCATACCCACTCACTGCATAACTCACATTTTAGTTAAAAGCAAATCAAATAAACTCAGGCCCTTGTTTGTACTAACCACATTTCAAGTGCTTGTGCACAGGTCTAGACCATCTTGTTCCATGGGCCTATAACACGTCCCCTGTGTGATCCATAACCCTTGGAGGCATCTGAAAATCTCACAGGCCCCAGCAATGAAGTCCCCAGTGATACTTTGCAGGAAAGAGTTCACATTAGTCCTTGAGTCCATGCTGTACACACAGCTCTGGGAGAAACCCAGTGCCTTGAATAATTCTTTGGCTTTTCTTTGAAGCCCCCCGGTCCCCATCCACTCTGCTTTTAAGTTGGACAGAGGAGAGCTTTTTGGATGCCAGACCACAGCATGCATGGGCAGGGAACAGCACAAAGGCCCTCAGGAGGAGAGGGGGCTGCCCAGTGACTAGTGCACCGGGGCGTGAGAGGAAGAGGGGACGGCAGGGATGGTTAGAGTAGGAAGATGGGGTTTGAGGCTTTGTTCCCCACGTTCTAGCTCTGTGACCTGGGGTAGGTTACTTGGCCCTCCAGAGCCTCCACTCGTCATTCACACAGTGAGATGCTCCCACCTCTTCCCCAGGCTCATCAGCTAGATACATGCAGGACCTGAGGTACTCTTGGCCTGTGGTATTTTGTTAGCATGGCAGGGGGGGGCTGTGAATTTTAACAGTGTGCTGCTGGGCCCAGTGCCAGTCCAGTGGGGGACAGGGGACAGATGTCAAGGAAGTGGGGTCAGCTCAGGTGGTTTCCTCCTCTCTCCTAGCCTATCCCTCAGCCCACAGCCAAATTCCCACGAGCCATGCTTCAGGCCCAGCTCCCAGGAGGTTTTTCTGGAGACATGGTTAAGTTTGACAGATATTTTAATTTCCTCTATTCCAGGTGCCACTGCAGCTAGAATCCAAATCTGCCCTGAGTCCAAAAGATGGTGTCTATATCAAGATTGTGTCCCGCTGACACAGAAGGCTGCCAGGGGAGGGAGGGGCATCTTGTCACTATGATGCCTGCAAGTCAGTGTTATGAGGGCACCTACAAATAAAAAAATTTAAAAATAAAAAAAACTCAGGTGGAAATTCAGATTTGTAGAAAATATCACCGAAGTGATTGAAAGGGTGCCCAGCATGCAAGTATAGGAGAGGTTGTTTATGTAGCATTTCCTACATGCTTAATAAATATTTGACACTTAGTTTGGACATTCCCAAAGGGGTCTGAGTCACTTACCTCACTCTCTAAATGAAGGATTGCTGATAAATAAGCAAAAATGTAGTTTCAACAAAATGAGAGACCGATCATGGCGGTTCATGCCTATAATCCCAAGACTTTTGGGAGACTGAGGTGCAAGGATCACTCGAGCCCAGCAGTTCAAGACCAGCCTGGGCAACATAGTGAAATTTCTTCCCTACAAAAATCAAAAAATAAGCCGGGCATGGTGGCACACGCCTGTAGTCCCAGCTACCCAGGAGGCTGAGGTGGAAGGATTGCCAGAGCCCAGGAGGTCGAGGCTGTGGTGAGTAAGCTGTGATCGTTTCACTGCACTCCAGCCTAGGTGACAGAGTGAGACCCCCCAACTCTAAAACAAACAACAAACAAACAAAATGTGAATGTGGGGATTTACAGGAGTCCTGGCCTCGGGATGAAAGAAATGTGTAGCTCAGACGACACCCAGGTGAGCCTGATCTGATGGCACTGACTCAGGCGTGGTAGTCTTAGGAAATAACAGTCATAAAATAAGTTCAGCCTCAAAAGTGGTTCCAAAGCTTTGTTATGCTTTGATTCTCCTAGGTAGGCTTCCACAGACAGAAAAATAATACAGGCTGACATGTACTTTTTCTTTTAAAGAGCATCATATCTTAATTTTGATCAAAGAATCAAAACACAGAGGTGGATCTTAGGAAAAGTAATCATTGTACTGCTAAGACGTTCACATTCAGCAAAGCACTTGAAATCAAATCCCAGATCTGCCATCAGCAGCTCTGAGGTTGTGACTGCTAGTCTTTCTACCTTCCCATGCCTCAGTTTCCTCTTCTGTAAAATGGGGAAGTTGGCCTAGATCAAAGACCCTTTCTCCTCTATGTGACATCTGAGCTGCTGTAAGGGGCTGAATGTTGTATAAAGAACTACTTAGCAGGAGATGGTGCGTGCCCTCCATGTGACATTCACCTGCTGACAGCCATCTTTAGAAAATGGAGGTCGTTTCCGCACATTCACCACTGTGACTGCAGCCTCCGCTCTCTGGTCCTCCCACCACCCACTTCAGCTCAGCGCTCCTACTGCTTCTCCCAAATCCTCCCTTGGAGGCCCCTTCACTCACTCTCTGGCCTCCTGGGACAGAGGAGTGCGATCTTGCCCCCCTGCACAGTACCAGGCCTCTGAGCCACTGCTGTCTCAACTGCCTGTCCTCCCAGAGGCTCAGACCCATCACACGGCCCTTGCCACACCCTTGCTGCCACCACCTGCTTTTTAACCTGGCTCTTCAATGGTGCCAGCCATGGGGCTCACACTCTCCTGAGAAAACCGTAGGCCCCGGGGTGCAACTGCCTCCAACTACCTTGCCCGTCCCCTGTAGTCCCTGACCTCTCCATGGCCACCACAGAACCTCAGCCTGCAGATGGGTCCACCAACACCCTTGGCCAGCTGGGTGCATGCCCTGCAATCTGAGCTGCCCTGGGGACCTCTGGCTGCACACCCCCACCCACCAGCTCCATCTGGCTTCCCTCTCCATCCCCAGTGAGGTTTCCTAGGGCGCTGGATCACTGGACTCCAGCCCTCCTGCTGGACCCCCATCCCCAGCTCCGCTCAAGTCCCCTGTCCATGCCCAACACCCACCATCACAGGGGAAATAGCAGGGTCTGCGCTGACTGGTCCTCCATAAGACCCTCCTGCTGGATCCCGCCTGGGTTCTCGCCCTCTGGTCATCCCATACACACCATCCGCCCTAAACCCTGCCACCTCTTTGCACCAGTCACGCTGAGAAGCGCGGTCAACTCTTTACCGTCACAATGCCCACCCCTCCCACTTCTACCTGGCCACCTGTCCCTGTGAACTCCATCCCTCCCCAGCACTGCCGGTCCAAGAAGTTGTTCTTCCTAATTGGCTTTTCAAAGGTCACTTATTGCAGTGGTCGCCACGGTTTTCGTGGCTCAGTGGACTTTTCTGGAGCATTTGATCCCTTCCCACAATTTCCATGGTGCTTGCTAAGAAACAGGAGTTCCCGCCAGAGTTGCTCCCAAGCCCCCACCACCCCTCCCACCCCCACCTTCCTCTATACCTAGCCACTGCTATGCTGGTGTTTGCTGTTCCCTACACAATTCAACCCCTGTACCCCTCGTCTTGCTGGTTCTGCCACCAGGAACCTTCTGCACAGCTTCAGACCTGGACAGACAGAGCACCTTCTCACCCACGCTGCCAAGTGAACCATTTTCGCTTCCTATGTCCCCAGCTCCCAGCAGCCAGGTGGTTAAAAAGCACAGATGGGCTTACAACCAAGACTTTAATAAATGGCATGCATCTGATTTAATGGCTCTCTGACACCCCTCCATCCCTGCCCAACTCTCCTGTAGAGGGACTGTGACTTAAAGAAAAAGCAACAAATGAAGTGGTAGATGAGTTGGGCTGTGGGGAAACTGAAGTCCTCTCTCCAGCTTGACTGCATATGCCTGTGCGAGGTTTCAAATCACTCCACAGACATAACAATGAGCTCAAGAGCCTAAGGCCTGGGAACTACAGAACCAACCAACCAGAGAGCAGGCCCCAAGTCACCAGCAGACCCCAAATACAAGCTCCGAGTCACCTACTACGGGGGTGGGAGCTGAGCTTCAAGAGGGGAGAGGAGTGAACCTCAGGAGAACTGTGGGGGAGACGGCACACACCTGGTGCCAGCTGCCACACAGGAGGGAGGGTCCATAAACTGCCAGATGTGGGAGAAGCACTGAACATGCTTTGCTCAGAGAAACCTGGGTTTTGTAGGGCCTGAAACTCGTAAGTTGGGTAAAGAGCATGGTACAGTATCATGCCTGTAATCCCAGGCCTTTGGGAAGCCAAGGTGAGAGGATCATTTGAGGCCAGAAGATTGAGTTGGGGAGAGGAAAAGAATACAAATATGTAACACATGCAAATTTTATTAAATGTATAGCCATGTGAGCAAGTTGCTGGGGCCTGCACCTTCAGCTGCGTGAGCATCTTGACAAATCCACACACAGCCCTTCCGAGGCCAGTGACATCAGCTGGTACATCCCTGCTAGGGTCTAAATATTGTGTCCTCCAAATCCAAAGGTTGAAATCCTTACCCAAGGTGACAGCATTTGAAGGTGAGGCCTTTGGAGGTTATCAGACATAGTCCTTATGAATGGGATTTCCCTCACCTCTCCCTCTGTGGAGGACATGAATCTATGAGGAAACGGGCCCTTGTCAGACACTGACCTGCTGGCCCCTGGTCCTGGACTTTCCAGTCTCCAGGATGTTGTTATGTGCCTCCTGGTCCCGGGCAAAGACAATCCCTGACACCCAGAAAAATACCTGCTACTCAGCAAGCATCAATAACTAGACATGGAAAAATGAGCTCAGTCTTCATCTACTTCAGATATTCTTTTATTTCCATACTCTCTTGAAACATTTGTGGCACAGATATTCAGTCTCACCAGGATGCTAAAACCCCACACTTGTAGGGTGTCCAGTGTGCTCAGCAGATGCAGGTGTGGTACTCAGAGGCCATCCCTGAGAACCCCTGGGGGCGAGCTACCCATCCACGTCACCTTCCAGGGTGGATGTGCTTTCTTGAGTGAAGGTGGCCCCACCAGAACAATGGGAGGCACAGGGACTCAGCACCCACAGCAGCCACGTACTGATGACATGACACAGGCCAACTAACAAAAAAGCCCAGGAGAAGCCACAGCAGAGCCACCTGGGTTGGTGCCAGAGCAACAGACGGAAGCAACTGTGCCACCCAAGGGCTGTCCTCTGCTGCTGTCACACTGACAAAAAGTAAAATAGCTGCCATGAGACACTGAAAAACTGAATCACTGCAGAGACAGAAACTCTTAAAAATTAAAACAAGTCCATAAAGTTGTGTCTAGAAACTCTGCCTAGTGCCAGTAAGCAGCAAAGTCAACAAAGAGAGTAAAAAATAAAACTTTAACACATTGTTTAAAAGCAAAAATGGACTCGCCTACAATCACTACTGGCTAGTCCACTAGCGAGACCAAAAGTGACTTAAAAGTGAAAACCATTATCAGCAAGAGATTAAGAATGTAACTTCATTGAGAAGTCAATGTTAAAACAAACAGTTCATTAAAAGTCTGTCCATAAAAAGTCATCCCCACAGCTGTCTCAAGGAAGCCTGGCCCGAAGGCCTCAGAGCCTGGCACCTGCTCACTGCCAGTTGCCAAACAAGGAGCCCAAGGCCATCAGGACGGAGGGCGTGGTTGAGGGCTTGGAGCTGGACATGTAGTGGATGAGATACTCTGGGTAGACCTGGTGCTTCTCGAAGACCACGAAGATGGAGGGGTCGGACACACTGTTCACACAGCTGTCATAGAAGGCATTGCCCCGGCCTTCCTTGGCTGGGGGGCGGACAAAGGTGGCACTGCCCCTGACGAACTCGCCTACCAGCACCCGGGCCAGGAACATTGTGTGGCACTGCGTGTCAGATTTGCTGTAGTGGTGGGAATAGGCAGCGTCTCGGGCAAAGTAGCTCCCTGAAATGACACACACAGGCTTAGCTGGCCAGGAAGGGGAGAGGTGTCAGCCCATTGATGGCAGCATCCTGGCTGTCCAGTGGCCTCTGCCCTTCCATCACCACATCTCCCTCTCACTCTCTGTGCCATTTCTCCACCTCCTTCATGAAGGGACCTGCATCAAGGATGCCAATGCCCTTTTGAGTGATCAAACATCAGAGGAGTCACCCAACTGAAACAGAAAACTCTTTTTAAATTCTAGATCTGTTACACAAAACCTAGAGGCCTCTGGGTACATCACCACTTAACCCCCAAACCTCAGTTTCCTCAGCTATAACGTGGGTTGTCTGTTCACATGGGGCTGATGTGGAAGGTGAACGAGACCCCACCACTCTGTAGACACCGCAGCCCTGTGTACTGATTGTGAGCCTTGTCAAACAGGAACCTGAGCTGGAAGATGCCACTTATTTGTTCAAATGTGCAAGTCTACCACTGGCTGTTGTCCATCCCCACATCAGACTGAAACTAACTGATAGGGAACTGATGAGACTGGCACATGGACTTCTAAACTTGGAAGTCACAATGTAGTTACAGAAAATAATGTCCTGTTCTTAGGACGTGTTAAAAAGTGAAAAGGGGACAGTCTATGCCACTGGCTCACCAATGACTTGGGAAAGAGAGAGGGGAGCAGCAAAACATTAAGACTGGTGTATCTAGGTAAAACTTACGCAAGAGCTTTTTAAAATATTATTCTTGCAACATTCCTGTGAGTTTGAAATTAGTTCCAATTAAAGTTTGAGAGGCAGGAAAACATTCAGATAACGCACATGAAAGGTAGAATACATGCTGATGTGCGCATCACTGAGGCCTTCAGGTTTCTGTTTTAAGGAAATGGCAAAGGCGCAGTCCCGGGACCTGACGAGGGCTGGGAAGGCATTCCCTCTTCTCTCTCAACCCTGTCACCATCTCCTAGGGCCTCTGCTCCACAAGGAAGCAAACCTTCAGCCCAGAGAAGTGAGTGAGAGTGTGGTCAGCAGGCACTCCCAGAGGGCAGGGTGCCACCACTCTCTGAGTTTGAACTGAGGCTCAGGCTGGTCCCCTCATTCCCTCTATCAATCAGTCTGCTTTAAAATGAATGCCCTGGGCCCAGGGCTGAGGCAACACAGACTTATGCTGTGGAGGCCACCCTGGTCTTACCCTTGCCATAGGAAGTGCCATGAAGACCACAGACTCGCCAGTCAAAGTTCTGCTGACAGATGGCATCCACGAAATTGGCACTGGTGCCGTGGAACAGCTGCCGCTCATCCACAGCCTTCCCCTCATTCTGCTTCTGCATCTGCCCTTTTTGCCTAGAATTGCAGAACACACGTTAAGGCAGAGTGCCCCGGCCACCACACACAGCCAACCTGACTCAAGAAAACACATTCTGTCAGAATACCAGTATCCTAAGACCAGGAAATATGGCACACTGGCTGCCCTGGCTAGGCCCACGAGGCTCCACCAAGGCCAGGGAATGGGTGCTATGGGGGAGCACGTGGTACCAGATGCAAACCTCCCTCCACAGCTCTGGGCCTCCAGAGGCTTCTGGGCTCTGAAAGCAGAGCAGTTGTGAAAAGTGGCATGATTCCAACCCACACCTGACTCTGGGTGGAGCTGGGTGCTGGGGGCTGGACGCTGGGGGGGAGAGTCTGGAGTCTGCTGCTTGGTGAGGCCTGACCTTCTCCCCCTCCCTTTGTGGTGACTTAATGCTGTGTACAGAATGCACATGACACTGCCCCAAACCCCATGTGGGGACAAGTCAGCAGACCCCCAGCCCGCTATAGTGATATAGTGGATCTGCTGTGGGTTTCCTCCCCACACAAACGAGTGACCAGGTGCCCAAGCCCAAAGCCCCTGCTCCAGTCATAGCCTACGTTCCCGGGGGCTGAGGGTGAGGATGGGCTGCTCTACTCCACCTCACAGGTCTTCAGAGAGTCAGAATGGATGAGGGAGGGGGCTGGCTCTGCCATCAGTCAGGAAGAGGAACAGGCATCAAGCCCGGGAAGACCTCAGTGCCCTCCTCTCTATAATAGGACGAGCCACCACACTGCCCTGAGGATGAGCAGATGAAAGGGCACAGACACAGCTCCGGGCACGCAGCAGCCCTGGGTGAACAGAGGCTGCGGCTTACTCTTCCTGGAGGCCCAGGCCACCTGTGATAAGCAGCCACAGTGGCAGGGAACATAGCCACCAGCCCACCGAGAGCAAGCTCAACGCACCACTGGTAGACTTCCCAGAGGGCCAGGTTCTGGACCCGCTCAATCTTCTGAACAAAGAAAGGCAGTGTGCGGTGGAAGAGGTTCCAGACCTTCTGGTACTCTTCTGAGGAAGAACTGAGGGTGATCCTCTGCGGGGGCAAAGGTTTTCAATATGTTATAATCAGAGTGCGGAAGGCAGACAACCCCTTCCCAAAGCTGCCCAGAAATGCTGGAAGCACAGAAGCCCAGAATGTGAGGACCACATCCTACTCCCCTGTATGCAGTCTCTCCATGCACCAGAGGCAGCAGGGTCTCACTTAACGACCCCAATAGGTTCTGAGAAACTGCAACTCTAAGGTCTGCTGTAGAACCTGAACTCTTGTCTACGCAATTTGCATAGGGTAAAATTGGTTTCCTTATACAGTATGTCACCTCACTAAAGTCGCTGTTTTCAAGAACTTACTGATGAGTTAAAGAGTTAAGTAAGGACTTACTGTGCTTGCAAATTGCTGTCACTTCCCTCTGGATCATCGTGAAACTAGTCTGAAACTAGACATGGGATGCTCAAGCCAACCATCCTGGGTATCCTCAGGATGTCCATGCTATTGTGTGTCCCGCACAGGGCAAAATCACAGGTTGGACTACGTGGTCTATAGGACCACAGAGCTGGTGTCACAAATGTGTCTGAACCCCTCCAGTCCTTAGCACTTCCTGCCTGCACTGTTGGTACCTGTGTGCTTTATACAAGCTCAACAAGATACGTCCTCCCAGGACAGGGACAGCCATGTTGGAAACGCCTGTTTGTACAGTGTTGGCAGGCAGCCAGCAGTCAGAAGTCAGCCCAGGTGCCCCCATGGATGGGTGGTGGCAGACAGCTGAAGACTCTCCTGTACTCGGCACAGCTCCCCCAATAGCAGGCCTGAAGTTCTGAATGACTTCTGAATGCCTTCCAATGGAGTCCCCCTCCAAATGTCCTCATCTTACTCAGATCCTCCCCTGGTTTCTTCTCCTTATCTTACCTAGTAAAACTGGTATTCACGGGCTGGCCAGCTCATAAACTCCTGTTTTCTGGCCTTTATAGCAAATTTCATAGCGTATTCTCCTCCCTCCAAACTATATCCTCTTCCCTGAGAGCCACTGACATCTCTTGGTGGTCATCTGACCTTAAAACCCCCAAGAGGCTGGGCTTGGTAGCTCAGCCTGTAATCCCAGCACTTTGGGAGGTCAAGGTGAGTGGACTGCCTGAGCCCGCGGGTTCGAGACCAACCTGGGCAACTTGGTGAGACCTCGTCTCTACAATAAATAAAAAATTAGCCGGGCATAATAGTGTGCACCTGTAGTTCCGGCTACTTGGAAGGCTGAGGTGGAAGGATCACCGGAGCCCAGCAGGGCAACACTGGGGTGGCTGTGAGTGTGCCACTGCACTCCAGCCTGGGCGACAGAGTGAGACGCCAACTCAAAAAAAAAAAACAACCCCCAAGACCTGCAAAAACAAGTAAAACTCATATCCACTGCAGCCACCTGCCCCCTTACAGCTTTCTTCAGTGGAGAGGAAACAGCACAGTCTGCTCACACTCATCTCCTGCTATAGAATACCCTCCTCTCCAGTCCCAGGCAGCGTGATTCTCCTACCTTAAAGCCCAGGTCTGGCAGGGCAGAGAGATCCCAATAATCTGGGATGTTCTTTGGGCCTTGAAGCTTGGCATTGCTACAAAATGTAAACAAAAACACGTAGACATTTTATTCTTAACACACAGCAAATCTACCATAAGCAGTCTCTGCTAGCCCTCATCACCAGCTTTGAGTCTCAGTGTATCATCTTGGAAAAGCAGGTAGAAGGCAAGGAAGCATGCAGACATAATATGCACAACGTGACAGCTTTTGGATCTTTGCCTATATGCCCAGACCCCAAACAATTATCCATGAATGATCCATTTCGCATCTATTTTCAGTGACTACACAGAAGGAACAGAGCACAGGTTACAGCAGTACACAGAGAGCCACAAACCTTTATCCACAATTTTGAAATTCAAAGATTTTTCAAAAAGAGAAAAAAGAAGCCTCAAGAGGTTGTAACTGACATATACAAACATTAAAAAAAAAAAAAACCCATAAAACTGCTGTCAGAACTCATTTGGCAGTAGAAGTTTGACTTAAATTGGCAAGAGGCTATTGTGGTCTGTATTTATCCTTCTTCATCTGATTATGCAATATTATTTATTGCAGAAATATTAATGTGCTAAAATACAGAATGTCATGTACTACAGACACATTACCTTTCTAAAAAATAAATAAACAGAAGCAGTTCTAAAATTCATATGGCCCAAAGAATTTAGGAACAAGGGCCATGAAACTATAATTCCAAATTTTCCATATTACATTTCAGAATACAGTTTTCATCTTAAATAGATATACCTTCTGTTTCTGCTGGCACGATACAATGTACCTTCATTCTAAACCTCAAAGAACTGCCACAAATAACTTTCCTAGGAAAATGGCACCATTTAAAAATAACTAAGCTAGGTTCCTCTAGCAAGAATCAGCCAGAAATAGACCCAACAAAGATTTAAGATGCTGAAATTATCAGATTACAAAACAATTCTTCCCATATTTAAAGACAAAGTTTAAAAACATATGCAAGGAACAGGAAATTATAAAATAAAGACCTGGAAGATCTGAAAAAGAACTGAACATAACTTTTAGTAATGAAAAGTACAGTCCTTGAAAGTAAAAGTTCAATGGACAGGTGACTACCAAACTAGAGTCCCTGAGGAGAGAATGAGCGAGCTAGAAGGCGTGCGACATGGAATCATCCGGGATGCGGTCCAGAGCAGGAAAGGAGTGGTGAACACACAAGCCTCCTGGAATCTGATCATAGCCCAAGTGATACTCCAGAAGGCCAGTGGGGAGGACAGAGGGGAGGCAGTCTGCTAAGACGGATGAGACACGCACAGGTTAAGATCCTCGAGCAGGATCAACAAAAACACATACCTTGACAGACCACACAGTGAAGGCACGAAACTCCAAAGCAGATGCTCTTAAAGTAGCCAGAGGGAAAAAGAGTGACTACCCTCTGTGCCAGTTAGCTCAACAGCTAGTTTATCAAAAGCAACCATGGAACTCAGAAGACAGTAGAGATTATCTTCAGTGTTCCAAAAGAAAACAACAACAACCTAAAATTCTATACCCAGTGAAAACATCTCTCAAGACTGAGGACAAAATAAATACAAACCAAAAACACAGAGTTTTTCAACAAACCTTTATTTACGGAAATTTGAAAGGAGAAGTAAGCGGTAAAAATGTGAGTAAATTTAGTTAAACATTCACAGGATAAAATAATAGTGCCTCTCGACATTTAAAAAAAGTTGAGCCAGGTGCAGTGGCTCAAGCATGTAATCCCAGCACTTTGGGAGGCCGAGGTGAAAGGATTGCCTAAGCCCAGGGGTTCGTGACCAGCCTGGGCAACTGGGTGAGACCTTGTCTCTACAATATATCAAAAAATTAGCTGGTGTGGTAGTGCACACCTGTTAGTTCCAGCTACTTGAAAGGCTGAGGTAGAAGGATCACTTGAGCTGGGAGATCAACAGTGGGGTGGCCGTGAGCATGCCACTGCACTCCAGCATGGGCAACAGAGAGAGATTCTGACTCAAAAAAAAAGAAAAAAAAGTTGAGAGAGGGAAAATGGATGGAAAAAAGCATACGTAGGCCCTCAAACTAGTTGACAGGAGGGCAAAGATACTGATTTGCTTGTACCTAAGAGAAGAACACACATCACGGTTTCTACTACAGTCTTTAAAAAATATATCCAAAAGAAGAAAAGAAAAAATAGAACCCAATCACATGAATAAAACATCTTCATGGAGAATGGAAGGATAATAAGGAACTAAACCAGATACGTAATGGCTACAAATGCTGTCTTAAATTTTCTATTAAATGACACTCCTGTATTATAACTTCTGAACATAGATATAATTTATAATCTCATTAATTGTGTAAATAGAGAAGTTGTCTCTGAAAGTGATTCACCCTCAGAGCTCTAGTTGGCTATGAAGGCCCAAGCAAACTTGCTTGCTGGAATTAATGACAACCAGCTACTGTCACTGTCACTATATTAGAGGTAAGAACTAAGCACTTCATATGCAAGAAACATGTTCAACACCCAGCTTACGGGGGTGGGGGAGAGGAGATCCTAAATCACCCATATTTTAGTCTGAATCACTTTTATTTCTGATATTTGATGACTGTGGCTCCCTGAATGCTAAATTAGGAATGAAGAAAGAAAACACAGACTTTTCCAAACTTTGCCTTAGGTAGGGTCTGGATAGAGAAAAAATCAAAAATGACTTCTGGAAGTAGAAGGGTCATAATCAACCAAAACACTGATACATTCAACTAAAAATAAAAATTTATCTGTATGGTAAAATATTTCATAAGCAAAGTCACAAGGCAAATAACAAACCAGGGGAAAATATTTACATAACAAACCAAGGACACTAATCTCCCTAATAGATAAAAGGCTCTCAATATTTAAGAAAAATGCCAAAAATTTGATAGAAAAACACAAAATATTCCACAGAAAAAGAAAGGGAAATGGCCCTTACATGTTAGAAAAAATATTCACCCCACTCACAGGAGAAAGCACACTAAAGTATACTGAGCTGGGTGCGGTGGCTCATGCCTACAATTCAATTCCAGCACTTTAGGAGTCAGAGGAGAGAGGATTACCTGATCAGGCCCAGGGGTTTGAGACCAGCCTGGGCAACATGGCAAGACCTTATCTCTACAATAAATAAATAAAAATTAGCCGGGCATGGTGGCGTGTGCCTGTAGTTCCAGTTACTTGGAAGGCTGAGGCAGAAGGATCACCTGAGCCCAGCAGGTTGAGGCTGCAGTGGCCCTAAGCGTGCCACTCTACTCCAGCCTGGGCGACAGAGTGAGACTCCAACTCAAAAATAAATAAATAAATAAATAAATAAATAAATAAATAAGTACACTGAGACACCCTTTTTCCCATGAGAATGGCAGAAGTCAGAGACTTGATGACTTACTCTCGGCAAGGCCAAGGAAACAGGTACCTCATGTCTCCTGGTAGAACCGCACAGTGTCTCAAGCCCATGGAAAGGAACTTGGTTTACTTTCTAGGTCTCTGACCTGATGATCTA